TTTTGAGACAAAGTAATACATCTTTACTACAGATTAAATGTTCTGCACAGTACTTTCTTAACGCTTTCTCCCTTAATTGAATCTATGTGTTCTTCCAGCATGAATTTGTGACTGGGCAGGTACAGTGCCTCAGTCTGTATGATACCTCCAGAACAGAAGCAGAATCGTGTCTGGTTCCATACCTAGGTTGCTATAGAAGATCAGTTAATTAAAATATTCACACAGGGTCAGGGATTTAGCTCACTGGTTCTGCCACCTGCCTCCCAAGCACAAGGTTCAGAGTTCAATCCCCGTACCTCCCCCAAGAAAAACCTCACACAGTCACATAAAAATACTGAAAAGAAATTGCCTCCAGTTCTAGTAATGTTTATGTTAAGGTTACAAGATTGAAGTTTTTAGTAATTACATGACTTTTCATTTTATTGTTAAGTAAAAACGTAGTATGGTGTCAGAAATTCTATAACTTTGACATCAAAATTGATTTTTTCTTTCACAATTGTCATTTTGAGGAACAAAGTGCCTACTCCAATTACAATACCTTCCTTTTATCCATTTGTGAAACTCCTGTTTTTCCATTTAGAGCTTTATATCTGGCCTTGGTGTCAGAGGGTTTTTTTCCCAGTGAGAAAATATTTGACATTTCAGCTCATCAAATGACACTCATATGAAGTATAAGAAACAGTGCTAAGGAAGAAGCTGATACTGTGTGTAGTCTAGGACAGTAATAGCCAAGTCCCAAAAGACATTTCCTGTGTGTCAGAAAAGTATGTCCTCAGGCTTTTAAACATGTAGTCCGAAGAACGAGACTGCAGATAGAGTTCTGAGACTTTGTCTGAAAGGGCCTTGAGCAAAGCACCCTTGCTGTAAGCATCCGATCTCTACAGTGACCACCGTGTTCTCCCTTGTTAAATGTGCTCTCCAGGGCTGGGGATTTAGCTCAGTGGTGCTGCCGCCTGCCTCAAGCTCAAGGTCCCGGATTTGATCCCCAGTACCAAAAAAAAAAAAAAAA